GCAGCGGGCACGACAGGAGAGGTCTTCGCGCCATATGGGACCCTCGCCGGCCTGCCGGGGATTGAACCGGTGCTACTGAGGCTGCAGGCAGCTTCACAGCCCGGTGCTCAACCGCTGTGCCACCCAGGAGGCCCTTTACCAATTAGTTCTATGAACTTTTTTGGTAGATTCCTTCACATTTTCTACCTAGATGGTTGTGTCACTTACAAATAGGGTGAACTTTGCTTTCTCCTTGGCTTTTGGTATATACTTTCTTTCTCTCGACTTGTGGTGTGTCTGAGGCTTCTAGTTTGATGCGGAACAGGAGCTGCATACTTTTGCCTTGTTTCTGATCCTGAAAGGGAAGCATTCATTCTTTTATCCTTACACATGACATTAACTGTGGGTTTTTGTAGGTGTCCTTCATTAATATCAGGGTAAGGAGGCCCTCTTCTATTCTAGCTGCTGGGAGTTCTCTTTTTAAATCATGAATGATCTTGACTTCTGTCAAATATATTTTTTCTGTAGCAATTGATATGATGTGTGGTTTTTCTTATCAATAGATTTGATTACATTGATTGTTTTTTTGATTATCGAACCAGCCTCAGATAAAGTGCAGTCGGCTATGGTTTATCATTCTTTCTGTATAGCACTGGATTGGATTTGCTGGTATTTTATTGAGGATTTTTGTGTCTGTGTTTATAAGGGATATTGTTTGTACTGTTACTCTCTTGTGCAAGACTTGTCTAGCTTTGGTATCAGGGTAATGCTGGTCTCATAAAGTAACTGAAAAAGTCTCTCTTTAATATTCTGTTAAAAAAGTATGTGGAATTGGTGCTTTCTACTTTAAATACTTGGTAGCCATCATTACTCTTTTTCTAAAAGAAAGTTTTCTGACCTTCAAGCCACACAACGCCTGGACTCAGCCCTGTTTGGGACTCTGAGGGCAGGTTCACTGCAATGGGAAGTCTCAAAGTGCCATTTCTGAGAATGTCATGGGAAATGCAGGGGATTGTGGGACTGCACTGTGGGACCAGACTGTGAGCCTGTTCAGCCTCCTGCCCCTGCAGAAATTGCAAGCAGAGCCATGGCTAACACCTGCCCCACCACCATGGGCAACGTAGTTTGGGCCAGGCTGTCTCTGGTCTGCCCGACCCATGACTGGCTGTGTGATCTGGGGCAATCACTTGGCCTCTGTGAGCCTCCAATTAACCAGTGGGGAAAGGAACCCCGACAACTGTGTCTCCTTCAAAGGGCTGGCGTAGGGGCGGCTCGAGGGCTCTCCCAGAGCAGGTGTCAGGAGGCTTAAACAAAGGAAGGGGAAGAGACAGAATTGGGAGGAGAGAAAGCAGAGTAGGCTGCAGGAGGGCCAGGGAGAGCCCCTGGGCTGGGCAGTAATCACTGCCCCTGAGACTATCTCACTTGAACCCCTGGGATCCTCTTGGGGTGAGCTTGCCTGCCTTCATTTGTCCAGCATGCCCTGGGGGTCCTTCTCTAGAGAAGGAGACTCAGGCACAGGGTGGCTAGGAGATAGGTCAAGGAGACACAGTCTCCTTGGAGGAGGACCCAGGGGCTTGGGGCAAACTGCTTTCCCAGGCTGGCGCAGGGACCCTACAGGCAAAGGGTCTGCCTTGGAGCAGGTGTGGGAGGAGCTGACGTCCTGCCTGGAGCCAGGTGGCTGGCTTGAAGCCCTGCTCCACGCTCGCTTAGCTGGACAAGCCAGGGCCATTTCTTAACCTCAGGCCTCCCGGCTTCACGAGCTGGCTGCCAGGATTCTATGAGGCCATAGCGCGCCGTGGCCGTGGGAGCACCGCGCAGACACCAGCCTTTCCAAGAGCCTGAGCAGGCCTCAGCGAAGGGCCAGGCGGGGACAGCAGCCAGCCGCCCTCAGCCGCGAGGCCCAGCCCGCAGTGACTTCCTGCGCTGGGCCCAGCACCTGCCGCCCCGAGGCCCAGGAGGGAGCCCTGGGACAGGAAACCAAGCCCAGGCAGGGCATTGGGGTGTCTGCCTCCTGGTGAAGGGGCGCCTCCTGGAACCCGCCAGGAGGGTCTGTGGGGCAGAGCCGGTGCCTTCCTGCAGGGGCTCCTGGCAGACCGGGCCCAGCGCTGCCGCAGCGAGGCCGGGGATGAGATCACCGCGAGCCGGCCCGGCCGCTTGGGGTCTGGCGCCACCTGGTGGCCACGGCCAAGGTCGTCCGCGCCGGCCGGGCAGCCGTGGGCGCTGAGGTCACCTGCGCCCGCCGCGTCCTGGGCAGTGCCCGGCTGTCCGCGCCCAGGCCGTGAGGATGGACGGAGAGGCGGGCGGGTGGGAGGAGGCAGGCGCTGCGGCAGGAAATCCTGGGCCGGCCTCTGGGCTTCGGCTTCCACTGCAGGGAGAGGCTCGAGGCCCCGGGAGGAGCGTCAGGTGTGGGGTCAGCCCCGCCGGCTCTGTCTGGCCTCGGCGTCCCTCTGCTGCCCCCCGGGCCGAGAGGCCCTGCCCGCGCATCCCGCCCCTGCCCTTTCCTCGCCTCGCCCCGCGATGCGTGCCCAGAGGACATCAGGCTTGGCCCTGGGCAGACTGGGCGCTGCGGGCTCCTGGCCTGCCTTTGCCCTGCCGAGGTGGCGGGGATCTGGGGCGCGGGGCAGGCGTGGCTCTGCCATGGACTCATTCCTCCGCCCCTGACCGCCTTGCGAGCTGGACCCGCGGAGCCTGGGGTCCGAGTGGACCCCTGAAAAGAGCCAGAGCTGTGGGCTGGTCTCCGGAAGTCTGTGCCGCCCGTGGTGGGGCTGAGGTGAGCTGAGCCCCTCTGAACCCGGGCTCCCTGGCACCCAGGCTCGGGGGACACAGGGCTGTCGAGGGGGCTGGCCTGGAACGTGACCCCACCCCTGCACCTCAGGGCCCCTGCGCCCAGGCCGCGGCATCTGACGCACCCCCTGCCTCCTCGCCCCTCCTGCGTGCTCAGCCCCTCCCCTGGCGCCTCCGGGCCCAGGTCATCTTTGTGGGGGCCCTTGTCCGGCTGGGCCTCCCCTCAGCCGCGCTTTCCTACTGCGCTCCTCTCCCTCCCCTCCTGCCGACCCCTCTCTGCACCTGCGGGTCTGTCCACCTGTCTCTCCGCCTGTCTCTCTCTGTGTCTCTGCTCAGGGGCCCCATGCCAGGCCATCAGGTCCAACACCCCCTGCCCTCGCCCAAGCCCCTCCCTGGACCTCTGCGTCTGGGAATTTACAGGAGCCCCAGAGCGGCCTGGACCCTTGGGGAGTGTCACCACCAGCAAGTGGCAGAACCAGGCAGCGTCAGGATTTGGGGCTTCATTTCACCTGAGCCTCGATTCCCCTGTGTGTGAAACGGCCATAGCCAGACGAGCCCCACAGGCGTGAGGGGCCCCGGAACACCACTGGCGGGGGAGGTGTATGGGGGGGTAAAGCGACTGGCCCTCCCAGTCAGTAAGACTCTGCAGGGCCCCCCAGCCCCCGCCCCCTCCCCGCATGCCAGCCCCTGGGTGGCCCCTGCAGAGCCCAAAGGCCCTTAGGAAGCTGAAGAGTCACCCAGTCTGGTTCTCAGCCGGCGGCCACACCCTACTCTGACCCACAAGGGTCACTCGGGGGCTCCGAGTCGCCCCAAGGTCCACCCTGGGGCGCCGTCCATGTGGCCATTGCGTGTCAGTGCCCTGGAGGGGGTACTTTCTGGGGCTCGGAGGGCAGATTCTCTGGCAGCCCTCACTCCTGATACGTGTGCTGCGCGCCGCCTCTGATCTGGCGCCTGGCTGCCGGGACCCCTATCCGGCCCCCAGTTCCCTTGCCCCCACGGGAAAATAGAGCCCTTCTCGGGAACCCCTTTGAGGGGCAGCCCCTATGTTTGCTGCAGATGTGGGTGCAGCCATCTGCGTGGTGCGTGACCCCCGGGGATCCTCCACCCGGGGGGCCACACTCTTCCTCCCACTTGCGTCGGCGCTGGGGGAGGCATGGGGAGCAGGCGCGCTCGCGAGCCCCGACAGGAGAGACACCCGGGGAGGCCGAGGACGGGGCGCAGAGCAGGGGCCGGTGGCCGGGGGGGGGGTTTGGAATTTATTCCAAGCACCACCGGCAGCCCAGGGCGTGACGGGCGCGTGTGTGTGATTGTCAGAGGACACTGGCATGGGCACTGGGGAGAGCCGCTGGGCTGGGCGCCCAGTGAGAGGACTTGCCCTTCTCGCCGGGCAGGAAGTGGAGTGTGCCACCGAGTGGTCCCTGGGACCCCCGAAATGAAAGGGTGCGTGCCCTGACACTGGGCCCTGCCTGTGACTCTTAGCGCGGAAGGTCTTTAGCAGGGTCCGTGTGCCTGGGGGAGAAGAGGCGATATTCTGAGTAATAGTTTCCCACAAAAGCCCCCAAATGACCCGTCCCCTGTGGGCGAAGGCCCAGTCAAACGGGGTGGCCCAAAGCAGGGCCACTGAGGCCCGAGAGCTTGTTGCAAATCTAAGGCACCTTCTGACAGCAAGAAAGGCCTCAGGCAAGCCTGGGACAGAAGGAGCAAAATCAAGTTCAAATCAAAATAACAGCGGCTCAGGACAGCCTCCCGCCTGGGGAGGCGCCCCAAGTCCCTGGGTGCAAGTCAAAGCCGGAGAAGCAAGCGCCCCGAGGCCCCACCTTCTGTGTTATAGAGCTTCCCCCGCCACTCTGCACCCCCGCTTCCCGGTAGCCAGTCCAGTGCGGCTGCATGTCAGTGGGGGGCGCGAACCCCGTTCCCTCCCCTAGCAGAGGCAGCAGGCGGGGACCAGGCTGGCAGTGGGGTGAGCTCCCCTGTGTGCTCCTGGCAGGCCCTGGGAGAGCACGTCTTACTTTACAGAGCAGCAAACTGCGGCCGGTGGGGGGAGGACCTGCCTGGGGTCACCTGCGGGCCAGACCCCTTTCGGACCCGCCCCCGCCCCACAGGCCCCAGAACCCCTAGCGCCATCCCAGCGTCTGGGGGCCCAGCGGGAGGATGTGCACGCAGGCGGCTCCTGCCGGCCGACGGGCCCTGCAGCCCGGCCGCCCGCCATGGCTGAGTTGTGTCGTCTCTCTCGGCAGGTACGTCCGCACCATGTACCTGGGGATTCAGAGCCAGCGGCAGAAGGAACACCAGCGCCGCTTCTACTGGGCTATGATGTACGAATATGCAGACGTCAACATGCTGCGCCTCCTGGAGACCTTCCTGGAGAGCGCCCCCCAACTGGTGCTACAGCTCTGCATAATGATCCAGAAGAACAGCGCCGAGACGCTGCCCTGTGAGTGCCCCGCGGGGCGCCCCTCCAGGCCGCGGGTCTGCCCGCTGGTGCCCGCGGCCCTCCTGGTCCCTGCGTCCCCACAGCACCCCCCCGGCTGGCGCTCATGACACAGGTCTCTGGTACATGGTGGGGAAGCCCACCCAACCTGCTCAGATACCCCACTTGGAAGAGTGGAGCAGAGCTGGGGACTTGGGGGCCCTGAGAGCAGCAGTTCAGGGTGTCCAAGTAGGGGCGACAGTCCCTTTGGTGTGGGCCGAGTCCTGATGCTTGCACATCTAGGGGAGGGGGGGCTGGAGGTGTTTGCACATCTAGGAGAGGGGGGGCTGGAGGTGTTTGCACATCTAGGGGATGGGGGGGCTGGAGGTGTTTGCTCATCTAGGGGATGGTGGGCTGGAGGTGTTTGCACATATAGGGGATGGGGGGCCTGGAGGTGTTTGCACATCTACGGGATGGGGGGGCTGGAGGTGTTCGCTCATCTAGGGGATAGGGGGCTGGAGGTGTTTGCACATCTACGGGATGGGGGGGCTGGAGGTGTTCGCTCATCTAGGGGATAGGGGGCTGGAGGTGTTTGCACATCTAGGGGATGGTGGGCTGGAGGTGTTTGCACATCTAGGGGAGGGGGGCCTGCAGGTGACATGTGACAGAAGGACTGAGTGTCCAATGGCTGGTAGTTAAGACGGCTCCGCCTGGGGTGTGCGCCCCTCACGGGCAGCCTGTGGGGAAACCCTGCGAGAAAGCAGGCTCTGCCCTGGAGGACCACACAGCCAGGCGCGGCGGAGCCTTTACTGCCAGCGCAGCCTCAAGCCCCTTTGGCCCCTCTGGCAGCCCGGCCTCGGTCCAGCTGCTCGGAGCTGCGTCCGGTGCTGGTGAGTGAAGCGCCGGGCGGCCAGGGGAGGCTGGGCGCTGCTAAGCAGGTGTCTAGTTCCAGCCGGCGGGACGCTGAGCAGGAGCTGGCACCCTGGAGGAGGGTGTGATGGCCTCTGGCCCCCACCCCTCTGCAGAAGCCCTCCCCCTCATGGGCACACACACCCACTGGAGTGGCAAAGAATAGGGGAGACAGGGGACCCCCCCCACAGATGCAGCTCCAGTGCCTGGGGACACAGGCCCCCACCTGCTTCCCAGGGCCTCGGGGAAGGACCCCTCAGCTGAGGGTGGGCACCCAGGGGAGGAGCTGGGAGCGTGGCTGAGCCAAGTGGCGCAGACGTGGGACTGCAGAGGAAGGGCCGGGCTCTGAGTGGCCGGTGGAGCTGGCCCGATCAAGGTCGGAGCCCTTCCAGGCGGTGGCACTGCCAGTGACAGGGATGGGGCCTGAGGGGTAGAGTGGGCAGGTGCGGGGGACCCTGAGCCTCGAGCATGGTCCGAGGTGGGGGCGAAGGCGGGGCGGTGGCAGCAACAAGGCCAATCCAGACTTTCAGGGTCTCTGAGAGCCAGAGACAACTGTAAGAGGTTTACGTTGGGAGCCCACGGCAGCCCCAGGAGGACGTACTTGCGGTCACTCCCGATTCATGAGGATGACACTGAGCCCAAGGGGGCTGCCTCCCAGGCCGAAGGTGTCTCCAAGGCTTTCAGGTGACGGAGACGGGCCTTGTGGACAGTGGGCTCTGGCCTCTGCTGGCAGCAGGGAGGGTTGTGCTGCCCCTGCAGGAACTCCCGGTGTCGGGGGCGGGGTTGGGGCTGGTGGACATGCACATGCCTGTAACCCCAGCTGTAACCCCAGACCAGCTTGGGAGGTGATGTTTCTGCTTCCTGCCCCCGGGGTCTCTACCTGGGCTTGGTCTTTGTAAACGCCCTGTGTTTGGGGGTGTCTTGTCTGGGCTCCCTCTGCCGGGTGCTTAGGGAGATTGGCCTGGCCAGCACCTTCCACGCTCCTGGGATGCCTTTGGAGGGAGGCTCGTCCACAGGGGGCCCTTCCCTGGGGGCTGCCTGCTCAGACATGCCCTTTGACCCTTGGCTTGGACAAGCGGTGGATGAGGGATGATTCTAGAAACTCTACACTCCCTGGGATTCTTGAGGGCTACCACGATTCCTGCTTTTTATAAGCCTGCCGTGCTGCACAAACCTTTGTGCTAGAAACCAGGATTTTGGAAATTTCAGTGTTTCTGTTTGAGAGACGAGGGTGTTGCAGCTCTGAGACACCAGCCTCTGCCCCAGGTGGTCTACCTGAATGGTGCCCACATCTCAATCTGGTGCACACCGTTCAGTCTCCTTGGATCCCCCCAGGTAGCCTCAGAGGGACCCTATGGCACCCCCAGGTGTGCTTGGGCTGTGGTGCACCCCCTACCCTGTAGCTCAGCTCAGGGCCAAGGCTAGAGTCCCTAACTAGGGTCAGATGAACAGGACCCCCCCAAGCTGGGGCCGAGGCTGAGCCTGAAGGTGGGGCCTGCTCTGGTCCCAGGACGGGGCCGAGCCGAAGTGATCCGCCCATTGTCACAAGCGGCGCTGCAGTGGACAAAGCTCCACAGGGCCTCCAAGCCCGCTCTGAGGAGGGAAGATGGTGAAGATTCTTGCAGAGATGCTTTGGTCAGTGACAAGAAACTTGAACCTCACCACTTCACTTTCCAGAGGAATCTAGAGCAAGAGTCTCTAGCACTGGAGAGCTCAGTCCAGGCCATGTAGTCCCGCCTCCCTGTTCAGTGTGTGGGGAATTGAGCCCAGAGAGTGAAAGAAGCTGCCCCAGGCCATACGGCGAGGAAGGGCTCAGGCACCCCTTCCTGCCCCACTGGGCCTCAGCGAAGACGCAGCAGGCGTCTCTAGGGAGGGGTTCAAGCCCCAGGCCTCACGCAGGCAGCTCCCTGCGCCCACCCAGCCACCAGTCACCAAGAATAGAGAGTAGCAAAGTTATGTGAAAACGGGCATCTTTACTGAGACAGGAAGTGCATGAAAATAGTAAAACCGTGACTTTCTTGTCGACGGACATTGAGCGTTAAGGTCCAGTCAGGAACCTGTCTTTCCGTCTTTTGGTGTTGGCTTCCCTGCTGTTTCTTTCTGGACCTCACTCGCTGGCTCCTTTTCTATCAAAGTCCTCCCAGGACTTGTACCTGCTGCTTTTTCTAGCCAGGGCCCTGACCGACAGCTCCGTGCCTCGCAGAAAGACAAGTTTTTGCTGGGGTTGCTTTGCACTCGTTAGGCTACAGCGTCTGCATCTCTCTCTTCAGCTGCCACCCCCAGCCAGGGCTTCATCTGACCCCTGGGAGGCTGGACCGCACCCAGCACCCCACAGAAAATTAGCTCCGCCTCCACCTCCCTTACCTGCTTCCCCTCTGGTGCAGGCAGAGCTCCCTGGCTCTGGTTCTCCGGTGCCGGGGAGGCCCGGCGGCTGCTTCTCAGCGCTAGGGTTGGCTAAACGGCCTCCCTTGCTTTCTCTCTCTCTTGGCAGATTTCTGGATTTCGTTATGTGAAAAATGCTTTCTGGTCTCTTTCCAGTCTTGCTCACACGGACATTAGCCATCCCCATCCAGGACACAAAGGTTGATTGCTTGAGCATTTAGGACTGGGGTTAAAATGAGGTGAAGCTGCCACCCAGGAGGTATGGTGACCGCTGTGTGCCCTGCAGGCGCCGGGCCAGGCTGGCCCCAGGCTGCGAGTGTCCCGCAGTCTCCTCATTACCAAGAAGGAACTTGCTAGAACTGATACCTCGTCCGGGCTCAATGCGCATTAGGCCAACACTGCACACCAGCATTTTTTTTTTAAAGATTTAATTATTTATTTATACAAGCACTGGGTACAGTCAGAAGCGCGGGAGGGTGAGAGAATCCACCAGAGCCAGAGCGGGGAGCAGAGCAGGCAGACTGACGAAGTACACTGCTGAGGGGAGCAGCGGGCGGCAGGTGAGGTCTGTTGCGCCATGTGGGATCCTCGCTGGCCGCTGGGGATTGAACCCGCACTGCAGAGGCTGTGGGCAGCTTCGCAGCCCAGCACTCAACCCCTGCACCACCAGGGGAGGCCCTACACCAGCATTTTGAGAGAAGAAAGGATTTGTTTGTGATTCCACTGGCCAGAAGACAGGTGTTAAAACTCACCGCTGTCTTCCCTTCCCACCCAGGAGGGAAAGGGATTACAACTTGGTGGGAGCAGAGCTGAGGATAGAGCGTTGCCCTTCCGCACTTGACCGCAGTCCACTGGGAAGTTACAAAGTTGCAAAGCCCTTGAAACCAGGAACCCCAAAAGGCTCTTTTCAAACAACCAGATGTTTCTGGTCGGTGCACCCTCAGCTTCTGGATTTGTTCTAGGCGGCCCCTCTTCCAGGTTGACAGCCCCCCTGCTTCTGAGTATGGTCTGGAGTTACTTTTCCTGTCTTGCTATTCTGTGGGGTCTCTAAGTTGCAGCCATGTGGCTCACAGGCAGGTGTTTTTGCGAAGACAAGCTCAAAAGACAGGTAACCACCCCAACTGCCTAAGGATGGCGGGCTGGCGACGGTTTCAAAGCAACTGTGGTCTAGTTAGTCAACAGGACCAGGTAAGGAATCTAGGATTGGGGGGGTGTCCAGGCCCCTCCTTCTTAGTCATCACCGATCTAAGCCTAGTGCAAAGAGGCTTCTCCCTAACTCCCCTCAAGCTGAGCTGCAGTCACCCACCTCTGACAGATCCCCAGGAGCTCAGGCCTGTTGGTGCAGAGACCTCCCACCCTCGACAGCAGCTCCTAGCCACCTGTCCTATTCCTGTGTCTTAGCTGGGAACAGACAAAGACAGGACGAGACCGTGGTTCCCAGCGGGCCCCTTCCTGGCTGCCCTGTGTCTGCGTCCAGGACCGAAGGGAAGGGATGGGTCCCTGGACACAGGTGTGGCTGGTTCCCCAGAGGGTGCGCCCTGTCCCCCACCCCCATCCCCTTGTCTCCGACCTCCTCCTGTCTTATGGGACAGCTGCTAGGCAGAGACAGCTGCAGCTCACACTTAGCCACAGGTAGCTTCTTGCAGAACAGAACATTAAAACCTTACACGTGTACACAGAATTTGGAAGGGCCTTAGGCAGAGACCTACGTCCTTTCCCTGCCCCGTTCTAGC